CTGTCACCACTGAGGTGAGACAAGCAATACACACCATGGACCCAGTCTATCCTGTCACCACAGAGGTGAGACAAGCAATACACAACATGGACCCAGTCTATCCTGTCACCACAGAGGTGAGACAAGCAATACACAATATGGACCCAGTCTATCCTGTCACCACTGAGGTGAGACAAGCAATACACAACATGGACCAAGTCTATCCCTTCACCACAGAGAGGTGAGACGAGCAATACACACCATGGACCAAGTCTATCCATTCACCACAGAGGTGAGACAAGCAATACACAACATGGACCAAGTCTATCCCTTCACCACAGAGGTGAGACAAGCAATACACAACATGGACCCAGTCTATCCTGTCACCACAGAGGTGAGACAAGCAATACACACCATGGACCCAGTCTATCCTTCACCACTGAGGTGAGACAAGCAATACACACCATGGACCAAGTCTATCCCTTCACCACTGAGGTGAGACAAGCAATACACACCATGGACCAAGTCTATCCCTTCACCACTGAGGTGAGACAAGCAATACACACCATGGACCCAGTCTATCCTGTCACCACTGAGGTGAGACAAGCAATACACACCATGGACCAAGTCTATCCTGTCACCACAGAGGTGAGACAAGCAATACACAACATGGACCCAGTCTATCCCTTCACCACAGAGGTGAGACAAGCAATACACACCATGGACCCAGTCTATCCTGTCACCACAGAGGTGAGACAAGCAATACACACCATGGACCCAGTCTATCCTGTCACCACAGAGGTGAGACAAGCAATACACACCATGGACCAAGTCTATCCTGTCACCACAGAGGTGAGACAAGCAATACACAACATGGACCCAGTCTATCCTGTCACCACAGAGGTGAGACAAGCAATACACACCATGGACCAAGTCTATCCCTTCACCACAGAGGTGAGACAAGCAATACACAATATGGACCCAGTCTATCCCTTCACCACAGAGGTGAGACAAGCAATACACACCATGGACCAAGTCTATCCCTTCACCACTGAGATGAGACAAGCAATACACAATATGGACCCAGTCTATCCCTTCACCACCGAGGTGAGACAAGCAATACACAATATGGACCCAGTCTATCCCTTCACCACAGAGGTGAGACAAGCACTACACATCATGGACCAAGTCTATCCCTTCACCACTGAGGTGAGACTAGCAATACACAACATGGACCCAGTCTATCCTGTCACCACAGAGGTGAGACAAGCAATACACACCATGGACCCAGTCTATCCCTTCACCACAGAGGTGAGACAAGCAATACACACCATGGACCCAGTCTATCCTGTCACCACAGAGGTGAGACAAGCAATACACACCATGGACCCAGTCTATCCTGTCACCACAGAGGTGAGACAAGCAATACACAATATGGACCCAGTCTATCCTGTCACCACAGAGGTGAGACAAGCAATACACACCATGGACCCAGTCTATCCCTTCACCACTGAGGTGAGACTAGCAATACACAACATGGACCCAGTCTATCCTGTCACCACAGAGGTGAGACAAGCAATACACACCATGGACCCAGTCTATCCCTTCACCACAGAGGTGAGACAAGCACTGCACATCATGGACCCAGTCTATCCCTTCACCACTGAGGTGAGACTAGCAATACACAACATGGACCCAGTCTATCCTGTCACCACAGAGGTGAGACAAGCAATACACACCATGGACTCAGTCTATCCCTTCACCACTGAGGTGAGACAAGCAATACACAACATGGACCAAGTCTATCCTGTCACCACAGAGGTGAGACAAGCAATACACACCATGGACCCAGTCTATCCCTTCACCACAGAGGTGAGACAAGCAATACACACCATGGACCCAGTCTATCCTGTCACCACAGAGGTGAGACAAGCAATACACACCATGGACCAAGTCTATCCTGTCACCACAGAGGTGAGACAAGCAATACACAATATGGACCCAGTCTATCCTGTCACCACAGAGGTGAGACAAGCAATACACACCATGGACCCAGTCTATCCTGTCACCACAGAGGTGAGACAAGCAATACACACCATGGACCCAGTCTATTCCTTCACCACAGTGATTGGCATAATACAACCTTGTGTACACCCATCCGCAGACAAGGCACCACTAACCCATGTCTTGTCACGTGTCAAGATTGTCTCCCCGCTATGGCAGTTTTGAACACACTGTCTGAGCTGTCATTGTTTTCTGTTCAAAGATGTTGCCACAGTTGCTTTAAATAATGCATGAAGGGAAAATAATTGAAAATGCCTCCTGGCTTGGAATGAAGCAAAGAAAAAAGTGCTCTCAATTAAACATGGATGACAAGCTGGTTCAGGGGACTGCCTACCTGGATGACAAAGCTGGTTCAGAGGGACTGCACCCAGTAAACCCAGTATACCTGGATGACAAGCTGGTTCAGTGGACTGCCTAAACCCAGTATACCTGGATGACAAGCTGGTTCAGGAGACTGCCTAAACCCAGTATACTTGGATGACAAGATGGTTCAGGGGGAACTGCCTAAACCCAGTATACCTGGATGACAAGCTGGTTCAGGGGACTGCCTAAACCCAGTATACCTGGATGACAAGCTGGTTCAGGAGACTGCCTAAACCCAGTATACCTGGATGACAAGCTGGTTCAGGGGACTGCCTAAACCCAGTATACCTGGATGACAAGCTGGTTCAGGAGACTGCCTAAACCCAGTATACCTGGATGACAAGCTGGTTCAGGGGACTGCCTAAACCCAGTATACCTGGATGACAAGCTGGTTCAGGGGACTGCCTAAACCCAGTATACCTGGATGACAAGCTGGTTCAGGAGACTGCCTAAACCCAGTATACCTGGACGACAAGCTGGTTCAGGAGACTGCCTAAACCCAGTATACCTGGATGACAAATTGGTTCAGATGGACTGCCTAAACTCAGACATGATGAAGTACATATCTGTCGTATCATTATAAAGCCTGAATTATCTCATATATACATTAGCACACAATAATACAAAATGTCATCATCAGATTGTTTCTTCTTGAAAAAGTTTAAGGAACATCATACTTTTGACAGTTTCCCTGGAACTAGACATTAATGGACAAATGTGCAAAATAATCTAATTACCACAAATGTACATAAAAACAATTCTGTGAAGTAGAGTGGAGACAGTTTGCGTGGGAAATTTGTTTCAGAATTTTGATGAGGCAGGAAATCCTTCTCATCCTATCATTGCAGCTAGCTGTCAATAATTTGCCTGATTAAACATGGTATATATCTGTGAATGTGGATCATTATCCTGTGATCATACGCTATGGCTGACAAACACGACATGTAATGGATAATATTGACTGGATTCGTTTTTTGCATGAATCAAAACATTGCTACATTAAACACAGTCTATGCATCAAAGGCCCCCTGACTGGGAGATTACTGCTGGGCCATGCCTTTTTATATGTTGAGAATGAAGATCACAGTCATTCAGGGAGACAAATGTGGCTCTAGGTGAAAGCTGGGCTCAACTCAGCAGGAAGGACATTGTTGTGGTTAGCATTACTTTTGTGTGGTAGATCGATGAAGACTTGGTCTCAATCTCCATCCTGGAGATAACTGAAGATCACTGTACTTAGAGCTTAGCCAGCTCCCATAAACTCCACAGACTGCACACTGGGCACTTGCCATCTTTCACAAAAACTCAACACACTGCAAACTGGGCAGTCACTCATTGTAAGGCAGAGTCTGCCTGCCACAAAAATAATACACAACATCTAGAGCAGAGTCTCCTTCCCAGAAAAACTCCACCCACTGCACCTTAGGCACAGTCCAAACCCCAACACTCTTCCCAGTCTGACTACCCCAAACTTAATACAGTGCACACAAAGCATGATCTGCCTCTAATAAACTCCATACACGACAACTACAGCATAGTCTACCCCCCAAAACAGATCCACACAGTGCTGCTAGGGCATAGTCATTTATCATAAAACATTAATCCCTCTTTCATGCCTACCAAAAAGAAAACTTTCCCACTGTGCAGAAAAGACTCGCAGAAAAGCTCACATTAATCGTGGAAATAGCAACATAAACATAATACCTGCGCTACTGGAAACAGTAAAAGCAGGCAACTTTAAATCACTAACACTGCATCATAAAACGAGGAGCCCATAGCTTCGATTTTAGCATGCGCACATGGAAGAGGAAGTCTGGGCATAGTCGACGCATGTTGACAGTTTCCAGCTTGGACAAAAGTTACAATCCTTTTAAGTATTTCTGTTGTGTTATTTGGCATTTATCATCATGATACTTGTGTGCACACTTGTTTTAGTTTACTTTCCATTCGTATGAAACGATTGACAGCAATTATTTCGACATATTTAATTCTTTTTCTACGCAAGGCCATTCCACGGTTGCAGTTCCTGTTGGCGTATAACCTGCCTTCCAGACGGCAATTCATACGGTTCCCTGTTGCATGCAGTACTAACCTGCCTTCAGACAGTAGTTCATGCAGTTCCTGGTGTACTAACCTGCCTTCAGACAGTAGTTCATGCAGTTCCTGGTGTACTAACCTGCCTTCAGACAGTAGTTCATGCAGTTCCTGGTTGTACTAACCTGCCTTCAGACAGTAGTTCATGCAGTTCCTGTTGTACTAACCTGCCTTCAGACAGTAGTTCATGCAGTTCCTGGTGTACTAACCTGCCTTCAGACAGTAGTTCATGCAGTTCCTGTTGTACTAACCTGTACAGTAGTTCAACCTGCCTTCAGACAGTAGTTCATGCAGACTAACCTGCCTTAGTTCATCATGCAGTTCCAGTAGTTTAACCTGCCTTCAGACAGTAGTTCATGCAGTTCCTGGTGTACTAACCTGCCTTCAGACTCATCAGTACACCTGTCAGACGGTAGTTATACAGTTCCTGGTGTACTAACCTGCCTTCAGACAGTAACCTGCCTTCAGACAGTAGTTCATGCAGTTCCTGGTGTACTAACCTGCCTTCAGACAGTAGTTCATGCAGTTTTTGGGGGTGTTATCACTCAGTTCCTTGTATGTGCCCGTCAAGTCTCTGTCATTGAGATTGTCCTTATAACAGCCGAAGTAGGTTCCAGTATCATTTCCTGCAAAACAAAACATCACACATGAATTTACCACCACCACTAACTGTCTACTTGCACAATCTGCCCAGGGAGGAGAAGACATATGTTTGTCCTGTACAACAGTTCAGTTGTTTCATTGGTACGGGGCAGATAATGTATTTGACAAGCACACTAACATCCTATGTTGATCTGTTTGTTCCATAGTTTCCTTGGTTCATTTAGCAGATATGATTATTAAACCATCATAGTTAATGTGGCATTTCATGTCTCTAGACTGGCAAGCCATTGCATAATCATATCAATAATTATTTTCATCCAAATTCCATCTCAACTCTGAATAATGCAGAAGACGGTCAGAATGACTTAAACCTTAACCTTATTTGCCACCCAGCTAAATTAAATTTCCTGAGAACCTGCTACAACAGCCATTGTTAATCTAATAAAACAATTACCTTGATATAACAGTAGTAATTGATTGCAGTAGAATGTTGTGTGATAGTGGCTGTATTCGGTCTCCCCAGGGGGGTGGCCATGGGAGGGGGGGGTGGCCATGGGAGGGGGGCACCTGGTGTTCCCCAGCATCCACTACAGATGACATGTTTCATTGTTAAATCAGTGAAAATTCCTGCTTGGGATGGGTTGGGTCTGTTGGCAGGGTATACTAGAGTTTCTCTGTCTGCTCTATGGTGATTTCATGGAATGCTGATTCCAGTATACAGCCAAAGACTGTCAGGCAAAAACACCTTGAAAATGTATGATTCAAAATAACTCAGTGGGTGAGCGAAGCTATTGCAAACTTCAAGTGATAAAGAGCACCTGGTTCAAATGCAACAGGAACATTGACAACTGATTATCTCCTTCTGTCCTGTCAACTGATCGTAACCTAGTGTTACCATGGCAACAAATTATCTCCTACTGTCATGTCAGCTCATTGTAGGTGGGTGTTACCATGGCAACTGATTATCTCCTTCTATTGTCATGTCAGTTCATTGTAACTTGGTGTCCCATGACAACTGATTTTTATATAATTTCCTTCTACTACTGTGTCAGCTGATCATGACATGGCAACTGACTGTCCTATTGAGATTTAAAGCTGACCCAGTACAAAGCACTGCCTGTACTTGGTGAGACTTCAACATGTTATCCTTCATTGTGAGGATTCAGCATGTGCTGACTGTGTGATGGAGTGGTACATCTGGGGGTGATGAGGAGCTGCTTGATCTCACAAGTGGCTGACCTTCCTCAAGACAATTCTCCTTCATCAAACACCAGTTGTGAGGAAACAATCATCACAGTCTGACCGGGAAAGGGCACCCTTAATTCAACAAGTCTGTCCTGCCTTCCAACATCACAATGGACATGTTTCTGTACAGACATCTAACAGATGTTGTGTTCATAAAGGATTGGTCTGTTTATAATTAATTGTCTGGGGAAGAAATGTCAAAATGAACTCTACTGTCAGCACAATAATTCATATTCAGTACCACCGCCATATAGCTGAAATATTGCTGAGTGCGACATAAAACTAAACTCACTCACTCACTATATTCAGTAAGTTAGAAGGTGTAAATTTTCCAAATATATAGTTTCTGTTATTCCCAAATTAATTCAGATCCTACCCCATGCTTAGCATCTGTAGCAAAATGCTAAAGTTAATGGAAAATATATTTTCATAACCTATTTTCAGTTCATCTTCATATCTTTATTTCAAGAACGAACCTATGAAAGTAATAACATAAAACCTGACAATGTGTTTCACTTTGTTGTGCATTTTACCTCCTCTCTCTTTAGCCATTTTCTGTCCAAAATCTGTGAAACAAAATGTTTAAGAGTGCGACCTTGCACTGATCCCACTTACTAGTGGAGACATTAATCACTTTATCAATTGTAATGAACAAGATTCTGTGCATGATCAACTGAAAAAACTATTATTTATGAAATTCTATTCATGCTTGAAAGAGATACCATGTCATCAGGAAAGACCAAATGAGCTCTTTACAATTTTGCGCAAGTGCTTAAATAAAGCAATGCTTATTCAACAGAATTAATTGTGGCAGATGATCAACACAAAGTGTAAAAGCATTCCTGTTGTTCCCAGATGGCAACTACATGCAGCAATTGGAAAGAACCATGGCTATAGAGTCTGCTTCCTCCGACACATGCCAGTGTCTCCAGCTGGATGGAGTAGCTAAACTGGGCACTTGATTACTGCTTGTACAGTAAACATAGGGTGCCCAGTCAAAACATGGGGCGGTTCACTCTGATTGCTATCTGTTTATCTTAACATCATTCAACAGAAATACTGCTTCCAAAATAAACTAAAAGTTCAGAAACAGCAGGAAGGAGGCTTGAAATGAGTTTCTTCAATTAGCCATCACCTTGCCATCTCATAAAACCATGGTTGTGCTGAAGCAGGCTGTTGGAAGGAAGAGGAGGAGACCTCCACACATCTCACACATCGCTCACATCTCACACCCCTCTCACATCACACACCTCACTCACATCTCACACGTCTCTCGACATCTCACACCTCTCTCACATCACACACCTCTCTCACATCTCACACCCCTCTCACATCACACACCTCTCACATCTCTCACATCTCACACATCACACACCTCTCTCACATCTCACACCACTTTCTCACATCCCACCTCTCCTATATCTCACACCTCTCTCACATCACACATGTCTCCTCACATCTCACACCCCCTCACATCACATCACACCTCTCTCACATCTCACACCCCTCTCACATCACACACCTCACTCACATCACACACCTCTTTTCACATCTCACACCTCTCTCTCACATCACACACCTCTCTCACATCTCACACCCTCTCTCATATCACACACCTCTCTCTCACATCTCACACCCCTCTCACATCACACACCTTGCTCACATCACACACCTCGCTCACATCTCTCACCTCTCTCACATCACACACCTTGCTCACATCTCTCACCTCTCTCACATCACACACCTCTCTCACATCTCACACCACTTTCACATCCCATACCTCTCCCATATCTCACACCTCTCTCACATCACACATGTCTCTCACATCTCACACCTCTTTCACATCCCATACCTCTCTCATATCTCACACCTCTCTCACATCCCATACCTCTCTCATATCTCACACACCCTTTTCACATCTCACCCCTCCCTCACATATCACACCTCCACATATCTCACACATCGCTCACATCTCACACCCCTCTCACATCCCATACCTCTCTCAAATCTCACACCTCTCTCACATCACACACCTCGCTCACATCTCACACCCTTTCCACATCTCACACCTCGCTAACATCTCTCAACTCACTAACATCTCACACCCCTCTCACATCCCTTACCTCTCTAATATCTCACACCTCTCTCACATCACACACCTACCTTACATCTCACACGCTTTCCACATCTCACCCTGGCCTCACTGTACTGAGACTGTCTACATTTACACACGCATGTTGGCATAACTGGGATATACTGTACTGAGAGACTGTCTATATTTACACACACATGTTGGTATAACTGGGTTATACTGTACTGAGACTGTCTATATTTACACACACAATTTGGTATAACAGGGTTATACAATACTGTACTGAGACTGTCTATATTTTACACACATGTTGGTATGACTTGGTTATACAATACTGTACTGAGACTGTCTATATTTACACACCCAAGTTGGTATAACTGGGTTATACTGTACTGAAACTGTCTATATTTACATACCCAAGTTGGTATAACTGGGTTATACTGTACTGAGACTGTCTATATTTACACACACAATTTGGTATAACTGGGCTATACAATACTGTACTGAGACTGTCTATATTTACAAAAACACATGTTGGTATGACTTGGTTCTACAATACTGTACTGAGACTGTCTATATTTACACACAAGAGTTGGTATAACTGGGTTATACTGTACTGAGACTGTCTATATTTACACACACGTTGGAATAACTGGGTTATACTGTACTGAGACTGTCTATATTTACACACACAATTTGGTATAACTGGGTTATACAATACTGTACTGAGACTGTCTATATTTACACACACGTTGGTATAACTGGGTTATACTGTACTGAGACTGTCCATATTTACACACGCTGGTATAACTGGGTTATACTGTACTGAGACTGTCTATATTTACACACGCATGTTGGCATAACTGGGATATACTGTACTGAGACTGTCTATATTTACAAACACATGTTGGTATAACTGGGTTAAACAATACTGTACTGAAACTGTCTATATTTACATACCCAAGTTGGTATAACTGGGTTATAATGTACTGTACTGTACTGAGACTGTCTATATTTACACACACATCTTGGTATAACTGGTTATACTGTACTGAAACTGTCTATATTTACATACCCAAGTTGGCATAACTGGGTTATACTGTACTGAAACTGTCCATATTTACATACCCAAGTTGGTATAACTGGGTTATACTGTACTGAGACTGTCTATATTTACACACACAATTTGGTATAACTGGGTTATACAATACTGTACTGAGACTGTCTATATTTACAAACACATGTTGGTATGACTTGGTTATACAATACTGTACTGAGACTGTCTATATTTACACACACAAGTTGGTATAACTGGGTTATACTGTACTGAGACTGTCCATATTTACAGACACGCTGGTATAACTGGGTTATACTGTGCTGAGACTGTCTATATTTACACACACGCTGGTATAACTGGGTTATACTGTACTGAGACTGTCCATATTTACACACGCTGGTATAACTAGGTTATACTGTACTGAGACTCTCTATATTTACACACGCATGTTGGCATAACTGGGATATACTGTACTGAGACTGTCTATATTTACACACGTTAGTATAACTGGGTTATACTGTACTGAGACTGTCTATATTTACACACACAATTTGGTATAACTGGGTTATACAATACTGTACTGAGACTGTCTATATTTACACACACATGTTAAAGGTATAACTTGGTTA